ACTCATACAAAGACTCACTTATTCAATAATACAGAGAGAGATGATAGCCATAGATTGATATCAAATTTTAGCCCTTCACATTTCAAACCATGTGGCATTAAAGAAAGCTGAACCCACCCACTCAACAGTAAATAGACACATTATACCAAGAGTATGGTAATCACATCCTAATACAGGTTGCAAAACTCCTCAAAATGGTTTGAGAAAATTCGCAAACCTATTAGATTTATGAAACCCCTTCAGAAACCAGTCAGAGGTCTAAAAACAACACAACGGATTAAGTTGAATGAGAAAATATTGTTTCTTAAGAGAAACTGCCCAAATGCTTGATTCAGGGAGAACACAACGATGTCTTCCATCTCAGTACTTGTACGGTTACCTCATGACATTTAAAGTGATTACAAATCTTAACACAATCGGACTAGACAGAATCGATTGAAACACATTGTACATTTTATTCTAGCTGTTGCATTCCTTTCTGTCAGAGCATGCTTCTTATTTTAAACCATGTCAGAGTTTGGCGTGGCTCTCATTTAGCTACAGTACAACCCATTACATGTAGTTATCAGATTTTGCATTGATAATCCATTTACAAGGTTGGTTAAAGAAAACGGAGGACACGGGGATCTGTGTCAGTGCATTCCATGTTTTTTAGTCTGTGTTTCAAAGTGAGAAACTTGTGAGTGGATAGGCGAGAGACAGGGAAGAGTAAAGGGACAGAATGGTCCTGAATATTGTCCTGGTGTTCAGTTTTATTAGCAACTTCAACATCCTGTTGGTAGGTTTGTTCTGACTGCAGTGCTGTAATGTGGACAGACAGGGCTGTACAAATAAGGGAGGCTGTTGTGTGCAGCATGTAGAGAAAAGAGGAAAGAAACAAAGTGGGTGAGAAGGGAGGAGAGTAGTGGTGGTGGTACGGTCGATGGTGGGAGTCTCCTCCATATTGTCACACGCTTGTTAGTACCACATTGCTGTGTTAAGCCTGGGGTTTTAAGGAGGACAACGTGAGTGTGTGTTGAGGCTTGAGTACACACACACACACACACACACACACACACACACAGAGGCTGTATGCCAAGACAAATGTGTCCACTTCTCTTTTTCACAAACACGTCGTAGGCACCCACTTTACAGACCTCATGACAAGATGTCAGCTGCAGGCGTCAGATGAGCTGCACATACAACCTAGGATGGTTGAACTAAGTTAGAACCGCCGTCTACACCTTTCCTACGGCAATATTAGGGGGCTGCATCCGGCAATTTCTGTAACTTTCCAAAACTGACAATCAGACATTCACACAAACTGCACGTTGTGACTGACCAGCTGAGTGGAAACGAGAAAGTACGCAGTCTCTATTTTTTCATTCTTTATACTCTTTTACAAATGAGTGCAACACACTTTTGCCTCGCCAGATTCAGTACTGCTAAGGGATCACCTCAAACTAAATGAAACTTTGACCGTAACAAACTGAGGTAACTGTCTTGCAGATACACTGAATGTCTCAGGACCTTTCTTTGCCCTTAATGTGGCAAAATATAAGCCTTAATTCATGGTGGGAAAGAAAGATATTAGGAGGGAGACACTTTGGAATAGATAGCCCATGTAGGGTAAACCCTTGTTGGGAAGCATCGGATAGTAAAGTTTTAAATGTGTGGGCGTCCTTGCATATGTAAGTGTGTGTCTCTTTTTTTACTCCTCAGCATCTCTATTCACAATATTTAAGATTCGAGTATTTAAGATTCCCCTGTATGTGTTTTTCCTCCTTTGTTTGTTTTGGCCAGTTCGCGTAAACCAAGGGCATTTCTGCATACCTAAGATGGGGTTTTGGGGTTGAAGGAACTTTCCAGACATTTACGCAAATGTTTCTTCTGCAGATTAAACTCTTAGGTGGCCCTCAAAATTGTTTTTTTTTCTGACCACCTTGAGGAAAAACGTGGTCCTGGGAGATCACACAAAATTGTTTTGCTTTGTCTTTTCCAAGACCGTACTTATTCATTCAAACATTGAGATCTGCACTCTTTTTTTGTGAGTTTTTACCCACAAGTGATGTTGCTTCATAAACTCATACGCAAGCCGGGGAAAACCCTCTGGCATCATACAGCCATCATGAAAAGTGAGATTAGGTGTCAACACGGTGGCAACCACAAAATAACTAGGCTTTGAATATGTTTCTGAAAACACAGAGTTGCTCTACCGCTATTGCTACTTTAAACAGGAGCATGTTTTTAGATCTTGCTCTGGTGAAGTACAGTAAGTGCCGTTTGATTTATGTCTCAGCTCTTGGCCTTGTGTAATACAATGTTTTACGTCTCCTTTTGTCTTTTTCTCTCTCTCAATCATCTCCCTTGTACTCATTCCTTTCATCTCTCCCATACCTCTATGTCTTCCAGGGCCATCCTTCATACATCTCGAAGCTCCCATGAACAACATCACCACCTCTCTGGGCCACACCGCCGAGCTGTTTTGCCGGGTGTCCGGCAACCCGCCGCCTACTGTGCGCTGGCTGAAGAACGATGCCCCGGTGGTGCAAGAGCCACGAAGGATCTCATACCGATCCATGGCTTACGGATCACGCCTCCGCATCCGCAACCTGGACACTACGGACACGGGCTACTTCCAGTGCGTGGCCAGCAACACCCAGGGTACTGTGTCCACGACAGGCGTGCTCTTTGTCAAGTTCGGTAAGAGGAATTAGAGTGGTCGTATCTGCCAGGCATTTTAAAACTTTCTGGCATGTAGATTTTACAATAAAGTGTCTTCATGACGAGTGTTTTAGACACTGTTTGTGACAAACAAAGACATTTTTTTCCAACTCATCTTTTCCTACTAGAGATCTGGCTCCTTTTAGCAACACCCGTCTCCACTGATTCTTGCCTGTTGCTGGCAGCTTGTGCAGAGAAAATCTGGGAGCAATATTGTTTATCCTGTTGTAAAACAAAAAATCCCCTTGTCTTCTTTTCCAGATCCACTCCCTACACTTCTGGCAGGAAGGCCAACGTAAGTTTATTTTCCTCCGTTCTTCTCTCTGTCAGTCCATAGTGCTGTGCTTCCCAGAATGTAATGCAGAGGACCGTCTCACAAATGTGTTTTGTGTCACATGTGGATCGGAAAAATGGTGGCAGCAACACATTTCACAAATCATTGTCACTTTCAGGGTAGATTTGTGAGGCCTATGGAGCTCTTGAGGGCTCATGCATGGGTTGCAAGTATGTGTTTTTGTTTTGACTCCTGATACATGTGACCCTGGATCACACAAGGGTAGAAAAAGAGATGACAAACTAATTTTGATTTGTTATCGATACTGATAATCATATGTGGGCCTGTTTCAGATGTGTCTATAATGGAAACACTTATAATTATAGAGAATACAAAGGTCATGACTTGATAGATAAGCGAACGTTCGGTAAATGGATTAACGAGCGCGTAACAACATTCACAGTGTGTTGACATTTTGTCTGCTGATACAACTGGAAAATGCTCGTTTTTCTTAATGAGTCTTTAAATCCCAACTGTATGATGCTCTATGTTGTTGTTTCTGCTCAACCCTCACAGCTCACATGGTTCACATTTGAACATGGACTGTGTACACTCAGCCGAGGGCCGCAGTGGGACTGTGGATCTTGTGGGGCGGGAACTATATAGTATCTATAACACACTGATCCTCTTAGTATTAGAGAATTTGGGTTATTGTACTTTTAGCCAACTCTCATCAGAAAACAGGGCGTAACGCAAAATAATTACAAATTCAAAACCTTTGCCATTCATTTAATTTCAGGGCAATAATGAGATGTTCACAGAGCTATAATGAAGTTATTATAAGAGTGAATGTCCTGTCTACCAGCAAGTTCTTTAACTGAAGTCTTGTATTTAGTGTAGCAAATAAAACCGAATGTTGCAAAACGTCTTCAGAAAGTACCCATGAATACATCGCACTAAAACATTTTCATGTTCTTGGTAAGAGCAGTACTGCTGCCCAAATCAAAATTTATTTTGAGTCTGGCGAGCTTCCTTTGCTTTGTTTTGACGTCGCCCCGGTGTTGTGGGATATAACTCAGAAAGAACTTTCTCAGTTTGTGTATTTTCTGGCAGGATCAAAGGAGTCGAGCTGAACCCCAGTGACATTATGGCAAGGCTCGTTGCCATGTCCCATGCGGCGTTCTGTGAATCGAAACTGCTGGCACATGGTGGATATCAGACACTTACTAAATCAATCCACACACTTTGAGCATGTTGGAGTGCTCCGTTTCAAACATCTGTTCCTACCATTCTTTTGTTTACACGTTTTATTATTTTCCCCTGTGCAACTAAATTGCAGCTTGTTTCATAGATGAGACAGTTGACTCACGCAGGAATCACAATGGAATTATGTCAAGGGAGTAACCAATCAAGTGGAAAAATCAAACAAGCTGGCCTAAAAGAAAACACATTGGAAATAAACTAAGAAGCAGAAATAAACGTTGATTATAAAAGGGAAGGATGTGAATTGAAGTTTGTGTGCTTTCATAGAGTACATCCACACAAATGTGTAAGTTTGTTTGAGGAGCTTCTTTCCTCGTTTTCAGGATTGCATTAATCCAAGCATCTGAAAGATTCAAACTCATCGAGGTACAGCTTTAACACAGCAAACACTAAATTACACTTTGCAAGTTGGAATGAGTTCGCCATTTTGTGAAGGAAAGTGTTGCAGTCAACCGAAGACCAGCATGCGATCTAGAGTCTCATTACAGTCATTACAGACTTCATCTAAACGGACAGGGGCCTCCTTTGACATGTGGCGGAGCTGCTGCTGCTGCTGTTGTGGTGGGCTGATCATCACTGCTGCTCGTCATTAGTGCGGCAGCCAACTTATTAGCTGTAAAGTAGGGTGGCAGGCCGTCAAGGAGACAGGGTCACCTAATGATGACATGTGATGACCTGCAACCGCTTACCTCATACCGCAGCTGTTCAAACGTCAAAAACTTCTGCTGCTTGACTCAAAGTTTTCGGAGACATCTGGTCCACAAGCTTGTCAGTTTAAGTGAAATATACTCTACAGTATTTTTCTACGTCCCACTTTCTCCCATCATCTCCGTATTCAGCAGAGAGCCTCACAGAGAGCTCAGTGACTTCCGTTTTCTTGGGGGGAAATTTCTTGCCACCCACCTTGTTGAACTTGAACATAACATGAACTTCATGTCCTCAGTGTTGTCTTTGCTTCGGCCTGTGCTCTGATTTCCATTAATTCTATGCTGGACTTAAGTATGTACTTTGCGGTGTGTGTGTGTGTGTGTGTGTGTGTGTGTGTGTGTGTGTTTGTATATATCGTCAGGGTTGGGTTTTTTGAGAGAAGCCGCAGGCAAACGGAGAGCTGACAGCCCCGAGGTTTAAACTACGATTACAGCAGCTTGTGTCCAATGTGGCTGCTTAAGAGCAGAAAACTACAGCGGAGCAGATCGGATATACAGACGGTAGGATGAGGACAGGAGAGATGGTGGAAAGTTTAAAGCTTAAACCTTTCCTCCAGCACGGGCAGTTTTTAAGTTTTCCACCAGAGCTGTTAAATCGCATCCATTTCAAGTCTCCTGTCATTCATGGAAAGTTTATAAGTAAAATCTCAAGTCCATGAAGGTAAGTCCCAGTTTTCGCTATAAGTTAAGATGAAAGTCTTTCAGGTCTCTGGATGCTGACTATTAAAATGACAGTTTTCTTTTCAAAGCATTTGTTAATAGTGTCCTTTTAATCTTTTAGTCATGATAATTGAATATGTAATTAGTGGCTATACATAGCCAGTCTGTTGCTGTCTTTTTATTTTTTATTTTCTAGGATTTTGTACAATCAAAACTTAAAAGCAAAAACACTAATTTCAAGTCTTAATTCAAGGAATAGTTTGACATTTTGCGAACTATGCTTATTCATGTGCTTGCAGAGAGTTTTATGAGAAGATTGATATGATGAATATGTAAATCGGTAGCTGGAGCAGCTTAGCTCAGAATAAAAGCAGAAAGAAAAGCCTAGCCTGGCTCCGTCCATAGGTAGCTCAATCTTCATCCCAGCATATTTTAAAGTTCACATTTTAACAAGTCATACCTCATCTGTTTTATCCATACAAAAACCGAAGTGTAAAAATTACACTTTGTGGTTTCATGAGGGATTAGAGCTATTCCTTTTGAAGTCTCACAGCAGCCCAAGTCATGTCTTTGAGTTCTCATTTTTATGACTTAGGTCTGACTCCAGTCCAAGTATAGCGTCTCGCACCTACAACTCTAAATCACTTCAGTCAATTTCTAATCCTAAAATCCATCAGTATCCCGCCAGTTATCTCCAAATAGAGAGTTCAGTGCATCTCCTCTACGCCGTGCCCATGCTCTCCCTCCATATTTCCCCTTCCTCTCCTCTCCTCCCCTCCCTGGAGATGTTTTAATAGAGCCAGCATAAACATAGGGTGAGGGGAAAAAGTCTTGCCTGCCAAAATTAGACCCCCAGCTTTCTCCATTTCTCTCTCTCTCTCTCTCTCTCTCTCTCTCTCTCTCTCTCTCTCTCTGTACGCTGTCACACTTCCTTCATTTGCAGGAAAAAAAAAAGAAAGATGGGGAGTGAAAGAAAAACAGTGTTAGCAGGCTAGGGGGAGGATGGTACCATTAACACTCGGGGGATGCATGTTGTTCTTTGATTCCCGGGTTCTGCGTGGTCGACGGCGTTCAGGTGTGATTAGCTGTGTGAGCCGACGGGAAGTTTAGTTCAGATCAGAGGCGGTTAATAACTCTTAACTGAATCCTACATGCAAACTGTGGACAGTCACAGACAAATCAGGTTACACACTCTCTTCGTCATCTGTCTTTTCTTTCTGACTGTAGTTCCTTTTTCTTAGAGTCCTTTTTCAGTTAAATGAATCAATAAGATTAAATAGGTCTTCATCAGGCACATGTTAGGCAGGCCGGCAGGCAGGACTGGTTTTAAATGACTTATTAGTTCTTTCAGGTATTGTGAAAAGCCGTTTAGAGTTGGAATTTTGCATCATGTCTATTATTGAAGCAGGTTTTATCAATATTTTCATACAATGGATAAAATATGTAATGTGATGACACAGAGAAGAGCAAAATGTTGCCCCTAATTCAAGGAATGTTCCCCATAAAACACAATCAAAATTGCGTGATTGTGTAAATGCCTCCAAATTTTAAATTTAAATTTCAGATAAAAAATAGTACATGTGGTGAACTTACAGGAGCATTTAACAGTTACCTTCAGGAGTTGGTGGAGACCAGAAGCGCGCGCACACACACACACACACACACACACACACACACACACACACAGGGAGAGTGAATATTGGACTTGCAAGTGAAAATGAGCAACATTAACTTAAAAGGTGATTTTATATAATTGTTGTGTTTATAGCTTGTTTCCGCTTAAACATATCTTATTGTATGTTTTATTACCAAAATACAGCTGATTTTATATTTGTAAAAATGTTGACTTACTGGATACATACGTATTTTAATCAGACAGCAGGTATAAACGGACTTTATGCAACGCTGCTGCTGATCTCAGTCTCAGTCTGTGTTTAGAATAGAGGGTTTTTCTCCCTGTTTGAAAAGATTAATACCGCTACACCCTGGCTGTCAAGGCTGTTTAAATTCCTCAAAACTTTCCCCACCACTTTTCTCTCAGCACTGGCAAAAAAAAAAAAAAAGCAATTACAAAAATAGCTGCTTTCATTTTTTTATTTTTTTTGCACTTTTCCCTCCACCGAGCCCCCCGCTCTCTCCTCCGGTCACTCCGTACTGGAGAATAAAGAGGACATGTTTAACAAGGAACAGATTCTCTCTGTGCAGTATTTTCTGGCTTCTTTTTGTCAGTGCCCTGACTTTTTTTACTGATTTTACTCCCGTATGTCGATTCAAACCACTGCTGACAGTAAATCCAGCAATCACACGTGTATGAAAGAGCTGGTTTGTTAATGATTATGTCTTATGGCTATCTGCAATACAGTGAGACCTTTATTTACTTTTTGTAAGCTT